TGTAAAAGGACATTTTGAAATCATGAAACAAATAGAGTTTGAGTAGGTTAAGGGTTTTGAGAGACATAAAATCTAACATGAAAGTGGGCGTACCACGCCAAAATCTGATATTTGAACAACTTCAAACGGACGAACGCATAAACATCCGAATTTATTTTGGTAGTTTTGAAAGCATATCATTACTTATATACATATATATATATATGTATGTTTTGTATAGTTTCATGTTGCAAAACACCGTTAGATAAACAAAATAATTATACCCGAACTGGTAACATCACACAACCAGAGAATAAATATTATAAAAATGTAGATAAGTTTATTAAATATTGATGTATTAGTTCCGAATGTTTTGATATGGAAATAAAATTGCGCATTTATTGGCGTTTGTTTGTATTAGAAATCCTGATAAAGCAAGAAATAAATATTTAGCTTGGTCTTATCAGAAACCGTTTTTTTTAATTAGCTAACTGCCTAAAAGAGTTATCTACGCTTAAGTTATTACATTTAGGTAGATGATTTTATGTAGGTATGTTAAAACCGTCTAGAGTGTCCTTATATATACACTTTTATTATTATTATATACTTATAAGTTTTATACATCAAGGAGGACTTATTGAAAATGCTTACGCAATACTTTAAGAAACCTCACTGCAGAGTATTCTTTGTACACATTTCTCTTAGTTGCGGCCGCCCATTCGCCATTTAATGATATTCTTCAAAGTGCCGAATGCAGAATTATAATGAAAAAGGATCATATATTGTATATATCGTAACTATTAACGACAAGATATTATACAAGATATGCGCAGACTACCAGACCTTTCAGGTAGGAAAGAGAGAGTATTAGCCGCTATAACATTTCGAATTGTAGGTATACAGCAACAAGTGAGGATGTTCCACTAACTGATATAGAATACCTATTTGCTGGTTTTTGAAAAATTCTGGGTTAAATAATAATAAAGCAAAAAAAAGTGATAATATTGCAAACAGAGCCGTGATACTTAGAATAATATAGACAGAAATGTTGCATATTAAAAGTGGAAATAATCATAGAGCAAAAGTCTCGTGGTTTAAACGATTTAATCAAAAAAAGTTGTATAAGAATACGTTACTAACCAATTCAACCGGGTATAATTGGTTTAATATTTACAATGAGTTCAATGAAGTTCAACCAACATGCACGAATCGATAAATTTTTATCCAATATAGTAATCGTCAAAAGCGATGTTTTCTTCGATTTCGTACACGCTCTGCTTTTCTTGTCTGCCAAAATAGAGTTGACCTGTAACCTGTACTTATATGAGTTATCAAAACGTATAACACAATAGGGGTTTTCAAAAATTGCCATTACCTTTGGAATTGGTGATGGTGGCACCCTTTCCATAATTACAAATAGGATTTTTAGATATTTCTTAAAGCAATTGCATCAATATACGAGCATATACTGGCTAGATTATGCAGAACGCTCTGAATTAGTGCAAAAAACTTTCAATGAACTGCCGTTTTGCTTGGATACGTTGATGGCACGAAAATTTAATTAGCAGAAGTTTAAAATAATGCAAATTACTTTTCCAAATGTCAATTAACATATATTATCTTAAAGCACAAGTAGCGTGTGACTGCTAGCTGAATATTCGCGATGTGGTTATTGATTACTGCGGTTCAATTCACGATTCAAAAATATTAAAAAATAAAAATCTCGATTTACAGACTTCTGAAGTACTCACTTCAGATTAGTGTTATCGGATCATCAACTGGTTTTTTTTTATAACAAATTTCTTAGAATTTATGCCAAATATGTTTCATAAAACTGCGCGGTAAAACGTTCTCGAGAATACTTGAGTGTTGGCAAAAGTTAATGGAATCAGTCCTCCCTTCTCCTATCCTCAATATATCGCATATAGTGATTTCCGAGTTTCCACCGGACTTTAAACCGTTTAGGTTGGGGTATATGTGTGATACTTAAATGAAATTAAGTGCATATATTTTCTTAAAAATAATGTGGTTTAGCAGTGAAACGTCGGACCGGCAATAATCTGCCTACATACGGCAATCCCATCAACTTTATTCCTTTTCTTCCAGATCCTGGTGAAACAAGTCGCTCTGTTCCTCACTAAAATTTCAAATATTATCCGAAAACTTATCAAGATGCATGCGATGATAGTCTAACTTAATACTCATTTTTACTGCGAGAGTCTGATAGTTTGTCAGCATATTTTTCATAATTTGTTGCTTTATGGTTGCAGAGGAAATTTTCGACTATCAACGCAAAATTTTTCTAGGCATCAATTTTCGGAACAGTCATAATTTTGAAAAAGTCTATACCTTTCATTATTAGCCGTATTTGAGGACCATTAAATATTCCACTCTCCAAATTTTCTTAATTGCGCTTTAAAAATATTCTACGATTGTAATTAATGCAATATCTTTCTACGTCTACCGCTTTGAAAAAATTTCTTTATCATTCCTAGCTGGATAACATATTAAATCAGTGACATTTTGTGAAAATAAATTTAACGTAAAAGTTTTATGGTCCCATTCATTTCTACTGTTTTACTGTACATATTTCTGGGAATTTGGCGACGCCTTTGTTTCTGAGGGCATGTCCAGGACTTTTAAATTCCAAAGGGACATTTTAATTGAGTAAAACAGGACATTTTGTAGACTGTAAGTCTAGATATCTCCACGCTTGAATTATTAATTTTTGTCATATTTTTGGTGAAGAGTCCGTGAGTGATCATAATAGAAAACATTTTTTTTTTTTGTCTAACTATATGTTAATATAAAGTAGTAAAGGTAAAAGAAAAAGTAATTTATGCGTGATTTGAGGTCGGGTGATTCGCTGTTGAATTTTTAAGGGTTAAAAATATTTTGTCTTATGTTAGATTTACGGCAAAACTACGAGTCCTGGGGGAGTTCTATGGCAAAGTTGTAGGTGTTGAAAAGATCTACAACTTTTGTATTCACACATTTTTTACATAATCTCAAAATTTATGTAAAAAATTTTAGGTTTCTGTTTTTTTTATTTTTATCTTGTACAAAAAAAAATTCCACAAAATTTAGTGTAAATTTAGCTTGTTATGACCCAGACATACTGCCTGCTTTTAACTTTTAAGGTTGGAAACACTATTTCGACTTAAAATCGAGAAAACCCTAATTTTCATTAAAAAATTCTTACTTTAAAATATCAGATTTTTTTTTGAAAAGGTTGTAGGCTTTATGTTTGTTGAAATCTCGACATTCTGATATAGAAATATGTATTTACATTACTATTTTATAATTTCTCAGCAAATGCAAAACAGAAATAACAACATTAAACATTGCTAAGGTTTATAGCTTTTATAGAGCTATGATATCAATGATATGGCTCTAGAGCTTGGTCTGAATTTCAAATCCTTAATACAGGTATAAGGTTATCGATCCTCTGGTTGATTTTTTATACTCTGAGCAGGGTATATTGAGTTTGCCATGAAGTTTGTAACAGGCAGCACGAAACGTCAGAGACGCTATTAAATATACACATAAATAATCAGAATGATGAGCTGAGTTGATTTAGCCATGTCCGTCTGTCTGTCCGTCCGTCTCCCCCTGCGGGTAGGGGTAAGAATTAACCCGCGGTAAGGCATGCCTGTCGTAAAAGGCTACACAGTCTTACCGGAGACTCAATTCTGGTACCACGAGGAGCAGCATGCCCTTGGACTTCGGTTCAATCTGCTCATTGGGTTCGGCGCTACGGGGAGTATCGTGGTGGCTGTGGTTTAAGCCTAAATGCTGGAAGGACTGAATTTCAGTTCGAAAAAGAAGTTGCACAAGCAACTGGGTTCCGTACCCGAAAACGGAAGAGGATTTAGGTCGGCCTCGAATCTTACCAAGATGGTCGGTGTGCCCCTACACACTGGCCACTGGTAACCAAATTAATACTTGCAAAAAGCTCGTATGATTTGGGGCGCTTCTCAACGCATTGTTTTTATACGTTGTGCTTTGGAGCACCGTGAGGAAAGGCCGTCGACGGCATGTACTCACGTAAAACACGCCGGACGTTGTCCGTCCGTCTGTATATATGCGAACTAGCCTCCCAGCTTTTCATATATCGACCTTAAATTTAGCATATAACCATTTATCACCAAGAATCTGCTCATTTGTCGGAATGGGCGATATCGGACCACTATAGCATATAGCTGCCATACAAAGGGAACAATCGGAATCAAGTTCTTGTAAGGACCGTTTTTATTTGTGAAGGGTTTTATAGCTTCGGTACAACCGAAGTTAATGTTGTTTTTTGTTTTTCCTTGATATAACCAATATATTAAATTTAGTTTTTTTTTGTTGAATGTATATCACGAATCTGATTTGAGTTCATTATATTGATTTTATTTGGTAATGAAAGTATATCAGTAATCAATCAAAGCTGTGTAATGAAACCAAAAAACCTTTAATTATACCTAATATTATAAACACAAACACACATACATTCACAAAATTTCGTTATTTCTTCTTCTTGATTATATTATATGAACATTGCGAGTAAATATCTTTTCATTTGGGCATAATAATAATGAATTGTCAAATATTTTCTTTATCAGCTGATTTCCAATAGCAACAATGATAAATAAATACACACCTTCGTTTATAATTGCAGACCTTTCGATATGTAACTTGTTTTCCTATACTTTATCGCTTCCAACCGCAGGTGATTATTAAAAAAACAGCGAATGAGTTGAAAGGCTTGCTGCAAGTGCCAAAGCGCTAATTTGACAGTGTTGACCAATCAGAGCCTTATTTTAAATCGATAAGCTTCGCCAATTGAAAACGACACACTGCTGTAATCATGGTATTAAATCAAAGCACATACGTGCGAAGTTAACTTTTTTCCAAAATAAAAAATATTTTGATTAATAGACTTACAATTTCGATTGTCCAATTATCTGTAGTTAAGAATATTGATAATGTGACCCTGTCAAGATAAGACGTGGCGCTGTGACTATAAAAGCGTGAGTCTGAGAATTCTCGGCACAGTTGTATTTCATCAATAGGTGCCATACGACATTGATAACAAAGTAAAAGTAAGTGTATATATCTAATGTAAGATATGTATAAGAATTATTTATTTTCAGTAAATATTTAGAATATCACTTCTTTCTCTCCATACAGCAAAATGTTCAAGTTTCTCGCATTTCTGACCATTTGCGTTGCCTTGGCCTCGGCCAATTTGGTGCGCGTGCCCATCTACAAGAACCCCAATTACCGCAGAACCCGTAATTCTGTGAATACTGAGACCGCCTACTTGCGCGGCAAATACAATGTGGCCACAGCACGCAGCGCCAGCGAGCAATTAGATAATGAACTGAATATGTCTTACTATGGCATAATCACCATCGGTACACCTCCACAGGAGTTCTTGGTGCTCTTCGATTCCGGCTCATCTAACTTGTGGGTGCCATCATCCGACTGTCCCAGCAGCAACGAAGCTTGCCAACTTCACAACCAATACGATTCGAGCGCTTCTAGCACCTATGTTGCCAACGATGAATTTTTCTCTATTGCATACGGTACTGGCAGTTTGTCTGGTTTCTTGTCGCAGGATACCGTTAATGTAGCTGGACTCAATATTCAGAACCAAGTTTTCGCTCAAGCTATGCTAGAACCAGGCACTCAGTTCGTTAACGCCAACTTCGATGGTATTTTGGGTATGGCCTTCCAATCGATTGCCGTTGACAATGTAGTCCCACCGTTCTACAACATCTGGAGTCAGGGTTTGATCGACAATGATGTGTTCTCCTTCTATTTGGCTCGTGATGGCAGCTCCAACCAGGGTGGTCAAATGATTTTGGGTGGTTCCGATTCCAGCCTCTACCAAGGTGGTCTAACCTATGTGCCCATCTCTGAGCCTGGTTATTGGCAATTCAGTTTGGGTGGCGCTACCATGGGTGGACAGATCTTGTGCGGTTTCGGTTGCCAAGCCATCGCTGATACTGGCACCTCACTCATTGTTGCCCCATACAATGCCTACAACACATATATGAACATCGTTGACCCCGATGGTGATGGCTTGGTTGACTGCTCATTGGTAAACAGCTTGCCTGATATGGAGTTCATCATTGGCGGTAATACCTTCCTTGTGCCTGCTTCCCAATACATCCTTAACGACTTCGGTGAGTGCTCACCTGCCGTCAGCTACATGGGTACTGACTTCTGGATCTTGGGTGACATCTTCATTGGAATGTACTACACCGAATTCGATATGGGCAACAGCCGCATCGGTTTCGCTCCAGTCGTTTAACTTAATAATCTTGCTTTTGAATAAAAATATAAAGAAGTACTTAAAGTAATTTTTTACCAAGTTTGTTTTTTGATGAATCCTCATTTTTCAGCTCGTTTTTCAGTACAGTTTTCTAAGATCACTCATCAGATAATGAGTGTTTTAAAAAGAATATTTGATTCTCCCTATTCCACTGTCATGTGAAGGTATTTTTAACACAGGCTTAAAACTTTTAGAGAATGTTAAAATTAAGAAAGGGTGGAGCTACTAACAAAAGGTTTCAAAAACGAGGCAAAGATATGTTACTGTGGTTCTAGAACAGAAGATCTGTTAATTATAACTTTTGGATTTGCTAAACTTTTTGGAGGGATATTCAAATACTAAGTCATTGTGACTAGAAAATGCGGGGTATAAATGGGTATTACTTCTAAGCTATTTCCCGAGAGCTGAGCTAAAATTTTACAGTCTCTGCTTCTTGTTAAGGTTTCGAAATATTGTAGCAAAACTAACTTGCCCAAAAGTGCTTAAATTTCTCATGACGCATTGTGGGCCCGAATTTCGACCGAGAGGTAAAACTTATCGAAATAGTTTTGCTTGAGAAATCTTTACCAAATTTAACCGGCTTCTTGGTGGTGGCTCAAAACTAGTGTAACCGCGCAACTTTCGATTAAACTGAACGGAGCTCGGTAAAACCTGAAACCACAGCCAATCAAATTTATTTTAGAAATTTCACAAAACTCGAACTGTCCAAACACCCCATGTTGGTATTGGTGTTTTTACACCACGTACTACTAAGTTATTTGGTTTAACTGCATTGAAATTGCTTAAATGGCTCTATTAACTGACTTTTCCAAATACTAATCAAATTGGTACTTTGAAATAATAAAATTCGAAATTATAAAATTAACTTAGCAACAGACTCCTCTACAATAAACAAATTGGACTTGGAGGAGCTATGTTAGATATATTCGGTACTACCTTCGAACGTTTCAGGTGTGTGGCTGACAAGTCTATGCATAAATTGACACAGCTAGGGGATGCAGTGAACAGATTTTAGATATTTTAGGCATACGGACATACTGTTATTAGCAAAATATTCTCTCTGCATTTCATTAAGATAAGACATATATTGACCGATATATGCGGTATGAAGTCAACTGCAGGTTCGAAAATCATTAAGTTAGGTATATGGACACTAGAGAAACACATTTTTAATGCAAAGCCAGATTATTATCGGAAAATATGCTTTCTGATAGCTACTGTTTACATAACGAAAAGTGAAAGAATTGAAATTGAAAAGAAAGAGGAAATTGAAAATATTGATATATGCGAAGTATGTGTGATTGTGATCAATTTCCACAATGTAACATAAATAAAGTTAGCCACCAAATTTAGTTGACATTAACAGAGTAGTTTCTGAGAAATTAAATTTCACCTAAAAGTGGGCACTGCCGCGTTCATTGTCCAATTTTTAAACTGCGTCTTCGGCCACACCTCAACATCTCGGGTGTGAAATTAAAATGTTTTTGTTTTTTGAGTTATGGCATTTTAATTTGTTTTCAACAAAACCGTTTAATTTGGAGTGGGTGTGGTTAACAAATTATTTCATCTATTTTCTTTGGCTTGGTTATAGCACCTTATAGCTAATGAGGGAATTTAAGATGTATACAGCATCGGTATATGTGCAATGCAGTTCTTCTCAAGGTTTCAATTCTCATCTAAACATAAAATATGATGTCGGACGAGAGGACTGGAGGATTTGGTGTTATAAACAACCGTTAGTTGAAAAATGTTGTATGCTTTGTGCAATATAAATAAATAAAAAATTTTGAGAGCTCTGTATGAGAAAAATCGAAATAAATTTGTGTATTGAAAAAAAAGCCAAAATAAATAACCATAATGGTCAGGGTAACGGTAGTATACAGGCGATCAGTGAAAAGCAGCATTACGCAAATACACAACAATAAGAACAAAGAAAACGCGAGAAAAATAAACAGAGAAGCGTTGTAAGTTAGTCGCCTGCAGGCTAAAGGCCTTCCGGGCAACACAGCCACGTACCCAAGCACATCATAATACTAAGCCACTACAAGTCCCGCATTTAGCCACCCTCAAGTGAAAATGTACACTTTGTTCCAAACACTTGTGAGGGGATGATGTGGCTTTTGGCTGTCGCCTTATGGTCCACCTAAGTATATGTTGCCATTATTTTTGTAATTTTTTACATTTGATTGATGCCACATTGAGGTGGTGACAGTCGCTGAGACCTCGCACTTGCTCGTCGTTTTATTATTCTTGGCGCGTTTGTGCCTTAGTTAAGTTGTGGTGGTTGAAAGTGAATATCAGTTTGAACACCTGTTGACAAGTGGCGCTTTAAGCTTATTAATGTTGGCTACATTTGTGGGGTGAGAGGGATTAATAAGACTTTAGGGAGACAAATTGAAATGTGGAAAATAGAATTCGCTATATCACTGCGTTGAGGTTATTAAAAATTGAGGCTTACGAAATCGGCACAAGTGGTTTTATTTTGAGGTATTGTAGAGAATACCATTACTCGTATTTCGTATGTAAAATTGTTTTGATTACTACTTGGGTGTATGTAACTGTTTGTTACCAGAAATCTGAATACTGTATGAATATTAACATTTTTCCAACTTTTTGGAAATTTCTGGATTCCATCTCAAAAGAATTGTGTCGGCATGGCGGCCAAGAATGAATCAAGAATTTTTGATACCCTGTTCTGATGTGAATCGTTTTACAGTGGCCCTTACGTCCTGTGCTGCATCGACAAATGGTGGCTGCGGCTAAACTTCCCTCCGCTGTTTTCTAAATAGTTTTAACTAGCCTTGTAACATGAGGCTGAGCGTTGTCATGATAGGAAATTTATACCTTGTGTCTAGTCGCAAACTTCAGAATATGTAAATGAGCTTACAAGAAGAAGAGCTGCTCTTGCACTATAACAACACACTGGCTCACACCTGTGTCATCGCCACGGCCACGGCTAAATTGATCGAATTAGGTAACGAACTGCTTTGCCAAATTTGAAAAGAGCCGAGTAAGAAGGTTATCGCCGCCACTTAGAAAGTATGAAAGTATATGACCTTCCGTAGAAACTATCTTCATTTTTCCAAAATATTCATTTTGTTTCTTTTTTATGCTAAGCACATATCAAACCGCCCCCATCAGATACACTTGTATATTTATATAAAGTCTAGTAAAAAAAATGCACTATTGAATCCACTCCAAATGCGAATCGTTTATGAATCGCAAAAAAAAAATCAATCCATTTCCGAAGCGTATGGTTACTGGTGATGAAAAGTGGATCATTTATGATAACGTCAAGCGAAAAGGACGTGGTCGGATCGAGGTGATGGCCAAACCATTGACGTTCAGGAAGCTTTTTTAATGTGTTTGCTAATATTAACGAGGAATCATCTACTTTGACCTGCACTCCTATAAAAAAACACTTAATTCAGACCTGTACTGTCAACAATTAGCAGTGTACCGATACGAATATGTTGGTAGGAAAATGCTTAATTTTTTTCTGTTTGGTTGGTATGACATCTGTTAAACATATTCAATAACCTTACAGTCATTGAACAATTAACATCATATATTTTTAATTTTGTGTTGAAAATGTCAAATTTTGTACCAGAAAGTAATGATTTGTGGAAGGCATTAATTTTTACATTTGAAGAAAAAAGCTGCAGAGTTGCATTGAATGCTTGTCGAGGCATGTGAGGCAGTGAGCAGTGATCATGCTATATCAGGAGCAACAAGCAAACGATGGTTTTAACAGTTGAGATATAATGAATTTAGTGTGATAAATGAAGAACGTGAAAGACCATCAAAAGTTTGAAGACGCCGAACTGCAAGCAATATTGGATGAAGATAATACTATTACTTAACTTTGAGTAAAAAGCAAATAGCAGCCATTTTAAATGTTGCACAACAAACAATTTCAGACCGTTTGAAAGCTATGGAAAAGATAAAAAAGTGTGGAAAATAAGTGCCACATGAATTGAATGAAAGCCAATTGTGAATTTTTGCACGAAAGAAAGTCAGTTTTGCATCGAATTGTCACTGATGAGGAAAAATTGATTTATTTATTTTAAGAATTCCAAATGAAGAAAATCATGGATTAATCCGGGGCAACCAACAACATCGACTGCAAAAACAGATCGATTCGGTAAGAATGTTGGGTATATCATAAAAACCTTCTAAAACCTGCTGAAACTGTTAATACTAATCGCTATGATCAATTTGAACCATGCATTGATCGAAAAACGACCAGAATGGGCCAGAAGACACGGCACAGTAACCTTCACGACAGTGCACCTGCATACTAAGCAAAATCGGTTCAGAATACAATCAAAGTACTTGGCTAGGAGCTGTTACCCCACCCGCCATGTTCATCAGGCACTTGGCACTTTCCGATTAGCTTTTGTTTTCATCGATGGCAAAAGACAAAAATTGGGTGTCTGATTGGTTTGCTTCAAAAGACGAACCATTTCCTTTGGCAGAAAGGTGGTTAAAATGTGTAAAGAGCAATGGTCAATACTTTGAATAAATTTTTTTACTTTCCTAAAATTAGTATTTCAATTTTACAAAAAAAAACGCTCATTTTATACCGTTACACCGTTTGACAGACCGTTTGAGCTAAGTACCCAGAAGCGGACAGCAAGACCTTCAGATACAAGGAAGCTTTTCAGAAAATTCAACTATATTATAGTGTATATACATATGTATATATGTATGTAATTACATATTAAAAATTCTATAAATTGCTAAAGCCTACCTTATTGAATTTTGACACATATTACCACTTAAACTATCAACGCCGCAGTTTTATTTTTCTTTCGAATTTCAAATTTCGCGAATACAAACACAGAAACAAATAGTTTGGAAAATAAAAGTCTAGGTATATACTCCTTCTTGTGTGCTCGTTACTATAAGCCAAGTGCTTTCCCAAACATCTTTGTATGCGCCCTCTCCCTCACCAGGCTATTCCTCTTCGCCAAGTTTTCCAGTTTCTCCTGTTGCTTGCCGTGTCGTCTTCCAGTGGAGGTTAGGTGGCAAATTCACAAGAAATATTTAGCTACAACCAAGACACCAAAAACAGACAAAGCAACAACTTGAAGAATTCACCCAGACCACTGAGCGCAGGCACACACACGCATGTACCTAAATATTGTATATCTATATAAATCGCTTCACTTTTGCTGTGTCAAGCTGATGTGAGTCCTTCACGGCCACCCACAATAAGGCTTACAGACAGCCATTGCAATGTTTGGAGGTTACAATGTTACGCATAGCTGTTATTTCATTGCCAACAAACGTTGGGAGGGTCGTGGCGCTGGCGAAGAGGGAGGGTTGTTGTGGTACCAACAAAAAATGTAGCAGCCACATCGCCTCACAGGCGTACACCAACCAGTTGCATATCGCAAACTGGGTGTGTGTATGTATGTGTGTTGTTATTGTTTTCATTTTACGCAGCAGCTGTAGCATGCTTTTAGGCGCGCACACCCTGATTCGACTTGTATGCATGAATGAAACTCTCTGCGGCGTTGACACTCATTTTCCATATCGAATATCTTTGCTGTGGACTCTCTTCGTTAGAACAGTTGTTGTTGTGTTTGCTTTTATTATCTTTTGTGTTTTAACTTTGTTGTTTTTAGCTATATGCGTTTGTGTACATACACACGATTTTAATGCCCCTGTTGCGCATTTTGCCAGCGCTCTCTAAATCTTGCTCTCATTTCATTTCCCGGCTGAAGGCTTAAATCGAAGAGAGTTGCTTGCATGTAAATGCTTGGCATGAGCTTATACCGTAAGATGGTGTTGAATTGTCAGACAAGTTTGAGATATGATTGTCAGGTACACTCTGGATGTTCAGCCTAACGATATTCTTCCTATAAGTCTAGAAATTTCTACCCAGCGAAGCTCTATATTAGCAAGATTGGTCGGTGATTCGACTCTTGTTTTTGGAGTGTGAAAATAAATAGTGCTTGAATGCTACATATGGTTACTATTCTTCTTCGATGGCAATCGACAAAAAATTGTTTAAGGGGTCTCAACGTGGTCGCTCGTCAGGTTTTTATGAGCCAGATCCATATGCCCTGTAAACCAAGAAAGATAGCTGAACAAAAGCCTACGATATCTTATTGTCCGATACCGATTGCAACAGTAGGCACTTCAAAAGACACTAACGTGGGTAGTATTCTGCATATTGGGCACAAAAAGGCTATCGCAAAAAAAAAACACAACTGAGGGTGTATTAAATTCAAATCGATCCCTAGAGACTATAAGATCTCGTTTAGAAATTGATATCTGGCATATGGCAGTAAGCGTCTCTTTCACTACAGTAACTACCCCGATACTTTGGGATGCTATTTGAAAGTACTTCAATAATGGAAGCCCGATATTAATGCAATAAACTTCAAAGTATATTTTCAACTGAAGAGTGTGCATTCAGTGATTCAGTGTAGAGACACCAAGTCAAGTAGAGACGCCAAGTCAACCATATATTTCCAGGACGAAAATAATGAGTGGATATATATACTCGTATTATCTTTAGGAGTATTTAAAAGAAACTGGAAACTGTGAGCCGCGTATATATTATTGTGGCTTTCTATCTGTTTCAAATTAGTTTAACTTAATCGTTGTAAATTTCCAAACTGTTGATTGTATACTTCTAAGAGAAATTATAGAAAATTAAGAGAAATGGTTTGCAAAACCAATTAACTCTCAAACGCTCTTCGTGAGTGGCAATAAGTAGATTTTTCGTTTTTGGCTCCCAATCGGCAGTTTGTCCGGGACAGGCAGAAAATCGACTGTTGCTTCTCTGTCAATGTATGCGTGTCACACATACGCGAACAACAACAACAACAACAACAACAATCGCAACAACAATGTACTTCCTTGGAATATATTAGTAATGATGGCTGTTGATTTTCAACACGGGGGCAGGTAGTTGTGGCGGAGCAGTAAACGGAGTAAATACAGGAGCAACAGGACTTTTGCCGTGAGATCAAACGAACCGAACTAAGCGCGAGCCGAATGCGTTATGCCGTGAGTTAGCGAGTGTGCGTCTACGTGGGAATGGCAAACAGCAGCAAACGAATGTCGAAAACAGGAGTCCGCACGAAAGCGTAGTGTGGCGCTAAGAATTTAGTGGCGGACGAGGACGGACGGCCCGTGCCTGGCAAGGCGATTGGTGAGAGCGCCCATATACATATGCGTGTGTATGTATGTGGTTGTGCGGTGTTTCAGGCAGGCTTACAGCCTGAACCGACGTTTCGCAATCACTTGCACAGTTCGAGTCGAGCCGTTGCGAGGATAAGTCGCTGAACGCGGAAAGTGAACTCAGCCAGAACAGCGAACAGTGGAGGCAACTAGTTCATACACACACATCCATATGTATTCCTGTGGTATCAGCAGGCAGCAGTGTACCTGTTAGTGCATTAGTATTGGTGTTAGTGTTGCAATGTGACTGTGTGTGGTGGTGTCGCGCAGGTGTTGGTGATACGCGCTTTTTGCAAAATGTATAATTATACTTTGATATATTATTGCGGCAGTGGTGTTAGTGTGCTCTAGCGGTGTGCATGTGCGATTACTTTAAAGGTGTGTTAGCAAAAGGCTTGCCTGAAGGGTGCTCCCCATATATATACTCACATAGAGAAATATTTATATATTTATGCGTATGTATGTATATATATTTTTGGTTTTTTCTGGCCTGTGACTAAGTGTTGGGTCATGAAAAAAAAAACGGTGTGTTGTTGCCTGCAGCTATTGAACAAAGTTCGAAAAACAGCGCAGTGCAATGCAGCGTCAATATAGCTAAATCTACATATTTATAGTATATATAAAATATACGCGTGTTTATGTATGTGTGTGCCCAGCGAGTGGAGTTATTGAAGTTTTTCGTTAATGAAGGTCAAAAGGAAATTTAAAGCTAATGTTTGTGTGTAGTGGAGTTGTTAAAGTTGCTGTTCTAACTTTTTAAAAAATGCTGTTTGAGAAAAGCGAAATATAATTAATTGGCAATGGAAGTGTGTGTTTCTGGATGTCAAAATGAAGAGCTAATATTAGAGTTGATAGCTTCGTTTAGTGGTTTTAGTGAAGATTTCAACTTTTATATCAAATAATTTTGATAAAATAACACCAACAATTTGCTCATAATATTTATTGGTAAAGAGATGTTTGAATTAAGACTCTTTGATGCATTTTCTCAATTGATTCTATTAGGTTTTAATATACTTAACATACAAGTACAATGCAAACTTCAATATACATATATTATGTTTATAAATTTATGAAATTTGGTATTTCTTGAATAAGACTGAACTGCAAAACAAAAGTTGCATTATTTTCAAGGTGACTTTAACTGAAAATTGAAACTAAAAAAATATTTCAGATTTAACATTAATTAGTAAAAAAAAATTAATTGAGCTTTAAGAAGATATAATAAAAAAATTCTAAAATAAACTAAAAAATAAAAAATTTTCAAAAAAAAAAGGATTTCAGATTTCTCATTTTTGGTAAAAAAAACAAAAAATTTGCGCTTTAAGAAGATATGATTCTTAACGACTTAAAAAAAATTCCAAAAAAAGAGAGATTTCTAATTAAATATTTAAAAACGCAGTAATTTGCATTTTAAGAAGCTGTAAAAGAAAAGAACTTTAAACTAAAAAAGAAAAAAAACAAAAAACACAAAAATTAAATAACAATTGCTTGCGCTAGATAAAGACTTAAAAACAAGAAATAATCAAAGAAAAAAAAATATTTCTGATTTCTAATTAAATAGTTAAAAAGAATTCTTTGCATTTTCAGAAGATAAATATAAAAATTTTGCAAACTAACAAAAAAATATAAAAAAATGCCAAAAAAAAGCAATAGCATAAGACTATAAACAGGTAAAATGTCTAACTAAGTAATTTTGAAGTAATTTTTAATTACAGTAGCACAAATTATACGATACGATTTTAATAATTTATTTTAGAAATTAGGACTCAAAAAATATAAATAAAATTTTAATAAAATCTAATTGCAAAATTATTGCAAATAACAAATTAAAGAAAAACTATGACAACTAAGAAAAAATATACTAACGATAACTAATAGAATAAATCGAATTGAAAATAGTTTGCGTTAAGTAAAAAAATTTGTTAAATTGTGCGTTTTGAAAATTTTAAGGAATTTTTGTAATTTAAAAATTTAATTTTCAATGAAAACTTGATCATTTTATTTTTTATAATATTTCGTATAAAATTTGTCAAAGAAAAAAACTAAGTAAAAAAAAAGTTTGTAAAAAGTATAAATTATTAAAAAAAAAATTTCAAAAAACATTTATCTTCTTTTATTAAAAAATAAGGATCTCAGTTTTTCAATTAAGTAAAAAATATAATAATTTAAAAATTTTTTGAATATAAATAAAAGTTTCCTAAAAAATATTTTTTAGAATGTTTTAAATATAATTGGTAAAATTTGAAAACAGAGTCCGAGGAAAATTTATATAGAAATAATGCTTAAACGAAATTTTTCAAGAAATATTTACATATCTTTTGTTAGTGGAAAATAATGATTTCAAAAGTGTTGTTTAAAAAAAAAATCAATTGTCAAAAATGTATTAAATAAATATAAAAAGATCAATTAAAAAAGATTGGCGTTCCGCGTACTTCGAAATTCTATTAACGAATATATATTCGAAATTTCGAATTTTCTAGTTAAAAAAATTGTGTTATGCTTTTCAAAATACTTATGAAAAAATAATAAAAAAAAATTAATTAATAATTAAACATTGACGAAAAAGAAGTTGGCGTACTTTAATTTTAATGAACAGTACATACATACATACATATATATATTTTTGCAGCTTCGAATTTAATATTTTTGTTTATCCAAAGGCTTAAAATAAATTTGAATGTTTAATGTTGAAATTTAAGTTTTATTTTAAATGCGTGTATTGACATGTTTCAGAATATTTAGATACTTTGTGAAAAGTGACACTGAAGTGGTGAAACATTAAAAAGAAACTTATTTATAATCAGAGCAAAGAAATCAATTGGAGAAATTAAATATAAAAAGTGTTGAAATGCAATAAAAACGATTTTTAGCTGTGAATCCTTTCGGTAATATTCACCACACACTGTAAGGGCATTACTAATAACGTCTTTGTAAGAATCTATGAGTTAAAAGAATGGAGAAATGCTAAAAAAAAATTTAAGCTCAAAATAAATTTAAAATATTGAAACAAAAACTACTCACGAATTTCAAATTCAGTAACGGTATATTATTGATTTTGCAATAGAAATATTAACAAAGGTGAGAAACTAAGCAAACAGTATTTTCATGTAGCAATATTTCATGCAAATTGCTTCTTCAATTATAAATAGTATTGATATTTGGCCATATTTATACCTTGTAACACCCAAAAGAAAACATTGTAGACGCTACATAGTACATATATATATAATTGAGCAGCATGACGAGCTGAGTCGATTTAGAAATGTCTGTCTGTTTGTCCGTCTGCATATATGCGAACTAGTCCCTCAGTTTTTGAGATATCGATAACTTTCAATCTAAAAACAGCAATGAGCTTGTTAACGTACTTTTACATATACCTACATTCAATATATAATATATCAATATATTTTTTACTATTCTCTCACTACTAGTTATATGTTATGTACGTATTCAAGTAATGAGTGAGTAGAGATAAGGATTATTGATTCCGTCTGTGGTCACAATATTCGTATATGTTAGTGGTATATATAGTCGATGCTGCTTTTTATAGTCTCAGTTAATAGAAAATCGAATTTTAATAAAAAATTTCAATTTCAACTTTGTATAATATACAATCAAAAAAATGTATATTCGATGCACCATATATGCAAAATAAAAAATCGATGTTTTAAAATTGGTAAGTCGATATCACCGCTCCATTCAATGTGGTCTTCATATCTTGTAAGTCTAGATTAAATGTTATGAAAAATAATCGCACAAAAGTTTCCAATGGAATGTTAGAAATAATCTGAAAATATTAAAACATTGAATGTCAGAGAAAAATGGAAGCTTGTGTAGGTATATTATATATATCTTGGTTAATTAAATATCCACAATTTCTTTACATAACCTTTTAGTAGATTATATGCTCCCAAGCATCATAATGAAACCACTTCTTTCTTTAAGCTGTGTGTGTGTGTGTGAGCGCCTGATTGAAAGCATATGTGAAAATTACATGTTAATTATGTACTTGGCATATATAATACTTTTATAATAGCCATGGCTGCGTGTATGCATAAGTGAGTGTTTGTGCGCGCCGCGTCTTAGATGTCTTTCAAAAGCGCTTGAGTATAAAATTTGCTGACCTTGAAACACATTCTTTGAACTTGAACTCGTCATTTGTGAGACTAAGTTGTTGGAAAACAAATTTTATAAATAGCTTTGCTGAGTAAATATATACTTATACCCTACACAGACGATATAAGGTTTACCACAAAGTTTGTAATACCGAGAACGAAACGTCGGTACCCCATAAAATATATATATACATATATAGTATGTTCAGAATCAAGTATGTGTGTGGAAAACTTTTGCATTTGACGAGATTTCTTCAAGGAATTATGAACGCATTATTGTCAAGGGCAACGGCGCAAGAAATTTTTCAGATCGAAGCACAATCGCATATAGCTGCCACATAAACTGAACGATCGGAATGAAGCTCATCATAAGGAATCTTTTGTATTAGTGAAGGGTATTATAGCTTCGGTGCAACTGAAGTTTACGTTTTTTCTTGTTTTTTCATTAAAATTTAATATTTCAAACGGAATTTGTTATTTGAGGTGGTTGAAGTTTTAAGGGGCTGCCTTTTCGGCAATGAAAAATATTTTATGGCAAATGGTGAAATAATAAAATCAACTGCTTTTGTATTTTATAGAGTATTTTAAATACTGCTACAAGAATAATAGCAAAAACAGCCTAAAAAGTTGAGTATTATTCATGCAAAATTTAATTTTTGTCGCAAACTTTTCCAGTGCAAACAAAGCGCTTTACAATTTAACCCATTTTTGCTTGTTTATGATTTTTAGATTTCTGAAAATTTTAATTTTCCGGATTATTTTGCCTATTCAAACAAAATCTGTTTGCCTCAGTGTACTCACTCAATTTCAATTTGCGTTTTGAATATTTTTACCTTTAGAGACCTTTACTTATAACTGCAAAACGCACTGACAAGCACATACATGTGTATGTATATATGTGTATGCATCAATATATAATAAAAGTAACAGTATACTCACACTCACACATAAGCATTAAAGCGAATGACCAATAACTGGACCGTCTGCTCAATCATTCATGCAGACAACTGAATTGACAGACAGGTTGCCAAGTAGACAGTTAGGCAAGCGAGCAACTGCTCAACTATGCATGCATACATGTATGTGTGTTTGTATGTATATGTGTGTATGCGTTTGCTATAAGTGGTCGCAGAAAAGTTCGTTTGGAAAGCTTTACACGTTTTGGTCAAATTCACCTGCCAAAGAGTACTAAGCAACGATGTTGAAGAAGCGAATGGCGAAGGAAAGCATAGAAGAGGGGAAAAAGAAGCGTAGGCGAAAAAGAATATAAGATGGGCGTAGCAAGTATGGTAGCAAGCGGGGTGTAGCAAGCAGTGTGTGGCAAGCTTAGTGCTTTAAATCCCTTTTGTTTGCTACAAGGTATTTCGTGGGCTATGTTTGTGCAGTCACGCGTTTAATTCCTACCTTGGGGTTCCACAGCAACTTAAACTGATTTTAATTCTGCTCTCTTTTCTCTTTTTTTCTATTTCATCAAAAGGAAAGTGGATTTGTTGTTGATTTTACGTTGAAGTGCCTTCGAGTGATTGAATTTGGTACGAAAGTCTAGGTTGTCGATCTTTATTTGCTATGAATATGACTTGCCGCCGAGGGGGTGCAAGACGAATGATGGCCGAAAAGCATTGGATTTAGCATTCTTTCAGTTTGTATGTGTGTGAGTAGGTTGTTTTTTTGTTACAGCATTAAATTTGTCAAATTATGACCGATGCGCTGCATTATTAGCATCCTTTGGGTGTAATTATTTAAAATTATTATATCGATTGGTGTTAAAGGAAAGTGTGGCATTTTCCTTAAAGATGGCTTTATAAAGTCAGTAAATTCTTTATATTAAACATTAAAACTTGTAGTTAATTACAAATAAATTTTTATGTCTTATTTATCTATGTGTTAATTATTCTTCATAATTAATTTAAATTTTCTTTTTATATACATTTTAAATAAGTTATAGGAGAGCATAGCGTTAAGTAGGATTAAAATATTTATTTTTAATCTCGAACAAATTTTAAAATTGTCTAGTCCTTCCTTTTCACACCGAACGAAACTTGGCGTGGGTTATTGCCTAAGGCAATGATGCAATCTCCGAAGAAATCTTTCAGATCGAGTCACTTCAGCATATAGGTGCTATACAAACTGGCCAATTAAAGTTCTTGTAAGAAGCCTTTGTATTTGTAAACGGTATTATTATTATTATAGCTTCGGTGCAAGCGAAGTTAATGTTTTTGCTTGTTTATATCCTTTATTAAGCAATTTAAATTAAATTTAATTTACGACATAGCTGCAAATGTTTTTTCACAGAATAAAATTAAAGTCCTGGCAAATGTAATTATTAATGAAAACTAAAAAAAAATTTATAATTTTAAAATTAAATACTAGAATGAAAAGCACTTAATTCGAAAATATTATTTTGTTTTAATCCCAAGCTTTTAACTAAAAATTAATAAAAATTATTTTGTTTTAGAATTCGCAGTTTTTCGTGTGCGTACTTTATAGTATCATACAGGGTATATAAAGTTTGCTACGAAGTTTGTAACACCTCGAAGGAAACGTCGGAGACCCTATAAAATATGTACATAAATGATCAGCATGATGAGCTGAGTTGATTTAGCCATGTCGTCTGTCTGTCCGTCTGTATGTATATATATAAACTACTCTCTCAGTTTTTCAGCTTTCGATCTGAAATTTTGCACCTGTCTTTTTCTCACTAAGAAGCTGCTCATTTGTCGGAACTACTGATATCGGCTGCCATACAAATTGAAGGATTGGAATCAAGTTCTTATAAGGAGCTTTTGTATTTGTGAAGGGTATTATAGCTTCGGTTAAACCAAAATTAACATTTTTTCTTGTTTTGGTTTTAAAAGGAAAAAGACTATTCCTAATATCATATAATAAGTATCTTATTTATATTAATTTGCTTTTAGTTAAGTTAGAAATATCGAAATATTTAATTTTTTCTCTTTATATATTGTTATTTATTACGTTAATTTTTGTTATTTTAAATTGCTTAATATTATTTTTTAAAATTTTGTAATAATTTTTGAAAATTATTTTTAATAAATTTTAACAAATTTCTTTAAAATTTTTCATTAAAAACTAGGTTCTTAATAAATGGTGACTCAGCAGGAAAGCAAAGAGTTTTGCAGGAATTAAGTTATTAAGTTTGCAGGAATTAATTTAAAATTTGTATAATTATTTGGAACCTTAATTATAGAATTTGCTTTATCGCATTTTAATTAAATGATATAAAAACTTTTTTATTAAGTGACAAAAACAATTATTTTATAAATAAATATTTTAAAGCATTAATGATACCATGTTTAATATTTTATTTTGCGCGGAAACAGAAATAAAACAAAAAAATAATTATACAAATTTAATTTACGTTATTATATTTGTCAACTTTTTTTAAATTAATACTATCTTAATTAATTTTTTTAATGCAAACTTAAAAATATTTGAAAAAATATATATATATACTGAATCAATGTAGATTTGAACTGAAAATAATAAAATTAAGTTTAATATAAATTAAAATTACTAAAATTAAGTTGTACTTTTTTAAATTTTTATTTATTTTAATAAATGCTTTGTATTTTTATTTTAATATTTTTTTCTATGTTATTGGCTTTAATTTATTAAATTGCACATTTCATTTCAGAAATAAAATAAAAGAAAGCCCGCATTTTTTTCACTTATTCTACATTTTTCGTAATTTAAATTTTGTGCTTTATATTAATAAGTTTATGTATATATAATAAAGAAAGTTAATAAAATTCAAATTTATTTACTTCTTGCAGATGAACTTTTAAATTCGGGAAGTAATATTGCGTACGAATAATTTTAGTTATATGCAGTAAAATAAAATTGTAAAAAATAAAAAGCATTATTACCAAGAATAAAAAACTAGCTCAGTTATGAAAAATTAAAAAAAAAAGTCTACATACAGTGTGAATAAAGAAAAATTATGTAAATAGAATAAAAATAAATTAAAAAATCTAAATTTCAAAAATATATTCAATCCGATAAAATTATAATTATTGTTAACTACTATTGAAAGTGAAGCAAAGCAAACAACTATGAATAAGAAGTAAAAACTTAATTTGTGTGTGTAAATGCTACTGATATACCATACTATTATATTAAGTGAATTGTGAATACGAGAATAATTGTCAGTAAATATATTATATAAATCCAAACACAAAGTATTCCATGAAATACTACATAAAATAACATGTACCTATATATGCACAAAAAGCTACAAACAGATACTCGAATAAACTACAGCACCAACAAGTGACACTATTTCGAATTCCTTGGTAATAATAAATTAATTCAGCAGCAAGTGTGAACGGCGACATATGATATAATTTGGTAAGTTTTGCACAAACACACATACATTTAAAATTAATTTCTTTGTATAATTTCGATTAGTAACTAGAATGGGCGAAAATGAAAAGTTACTCATACCATATGGTGTACCAAATATGTTAACAATTTAGGGTAAAAATAAAATTTGAACTGTTGTAAACAAAATATTTATCTATATAGTGCTTTGCATAAGTATTTATATATTATTACAATATAAATATGAATAAAAATGTGAAATAATAAGAAATAATAAGCTTGTTTACAAGCCCACGTGTCCATAGACTACTCACTCCTAGATATCCTTCTCTCTATTTATTTACAATATATTCACATCAGAAATAAAGCTTTTATATTGCTCAAACATGATTTACCCTGATCTTGTATGCACATATATACATATATTTCCTTATAAATACACAAAAGTATTCCACTGCATTTTTCTTCATTTCGAACAACGGTGCGTATGAGCAACATGTTGTTATGACTAAAATTTTCTTTTTTTCTGCTAAATACTCTCTCAATAAGAGCTTTTGCTGCAAAATGACATGCTCACATACACACCCGTAATTACATAATAAGCATAAACCACTTCATTTGGTTTTAATAAAATTCAAAGATTCTGTGGCAGACCGAAACAAAAATGAAGAAACAAAAGAAATGCAAAAGCGGCCTATTAAGCCATATGTGCATGTCGTTGTATATGCTTAGGTCTGTTTCGGTGTGTGTGGACAACACAGTGCAAGCACGTGCTGTGAATTGCCTGTCATGTGGCGATGCTTGTCAGAATTAAAATTGCAAACTGGGTAAGCTTTTCTTGACAGCAATGACACAAGTGAAAGCGCAAGTGGAGTAGGCATATTCCCTTAATTAAATTCGCTTTTGCTGAGTGAAAGTATTTATTACAGGTTGCCTTTTAAATGTGTGTTTGACACAAAAGTACAAGTTGTGCGGTTAAAAATAAAATTAAGGAAAGAAAATGAAGAATTTGAGGGAAAATGTATTTGTACGGCACTTTCTTACTGTATAATGAAATGTCAAAGAAAAGTTTGGTTGATACAATGTAGTAAGCGATGTTCACTTTTCAAATCCTTCTAAAACACACCAATGGGTAACATGTTAGATAATGTTAAAAAGTCGATCCAAATACGGATTCCACTTGAACACCTGAGTACGCTGTTTCATTGTGGTACCTGAATACTATTAAGTATTACACGAATAATCTATCAAAAATCGTCAAATCGTTTCAGCCAGATAAAAATTTGAGTGAAATGTTGTGGAATTAAAAAAAGTACGTGTGGCACTCGGGGTCTGCCGCGGTAAAGCTATTGCATAGCATTTTTTTGATCAACTTATGCAATTATAATTATTTATTTATGAAGTAATTTTTCTTTCTTTGATATTAATTCAATTTACACTTTTTGAGCGTGGTGATCGATAAGAAAATATTTTTTTTTGTATAGAATAAATAAGCAGTTAATATTGTTTAAAATATTTTTATTATCTTGCAATAAATGTAGGTTATCCAGGAATATTTATCATTGAAGGTATAGGTTTATGGTAATTGAAATAAGAAACATAAGTTTAAGACTTTATACCCTCTAAATATCTGGAAAATACCGGTGGTCCCATATTCTGTTGTGGATTCTTGTAAACCATTATTCATTTTCAAATTCAAGTTTTCCGAAAGAAAAGTTGTCAACCGCTCTGATATTTTATCAGCAAAATTGATGTTGAAATCGAATCGGAAATTTGTTACCATTGATAATCCGATTGAAATATCTAATTTCAATTGTATTATTCAATTCAAACGAGATGCTGTTGCAAAAGGTGGGGTAGCTATTTACGAAAATAATAATAATGTTACTAATATTATGACTCCGAATATTGAATAATTTATTTTTATTAATTAAATTTTTATTAAATTCCATATTTTTATTTGGCATTAAAAAAATTGTATCTTAAGTATTATTATTTTTGCATCATCCTGCTGTCTGTTTAATTGATTTGTTGAGTTTGAGATATGCGAAAATACGCCTAAAAGTATGCAAACATTTCGCGCATACTTTGTGATCGTGTTAGGTTTATTTCCGTTACGGAATTTCTTGATTCAATCCTCGCGCTCAAGCTATGTAATAACTTAAAATACTAATTTACTTTAAAAATTACCATATATTTTTAAATATTTTTCTGAAAAATAAATATTGCAAATACAAATCTTAAAAAATAAGAAAAAATAAAACAAAATTTTTTCAATTGGGTTAAAAGTTGCCTAGTTGAATTTTAATGCGTTAAACAAGACTTTTAGTTTCGAATGTTTGCCCGTAATCATACAATAATAGAAAAATTACTGCTGCGAAAATTAAGGGATAATTAAACATTTTCTAAAGGTAGCTGCCACCAGCAAAAGTGGAAAAACTAAAAAGTCACAATGTTTTATTTTTCAATTCGCAATATTTATCACAGCATTAAATAACTACTTACAAGCGCTTGTTATTTACAACTGTATAACTGTAAATCTCTTGTATTCAATCAAGTTTTTTACCAAAGCTACAACCAGCACAAAAATAACTTTTCACATATTCTGCTATTTTTAGTTGGTCACCAAAAACAAATTTTAATGAATAATCACACAGACAAAAAAGATAAACTGAAAAGCGTGTGTTGGCCTAATTCCTTCTGGGAAAACATATACACATACACACATTTGTGTAAGCATTACGCTATTCATTTGAAGCGATCAACAACAACAATAACAAGTACATATGTACACAATTTTAATGAATTTTTATGAGCTGGGCTCACTTTTTGTTTACACTTTACCACTTTCCGTAGTCGTAAAACACAAACACATACACATTCACATATGTAGGCTGCAACACACACATTTACATTAAGTCAGCTATACGCGTGTTTGCTTTATTTATCTCTTTTTTGCTTCAATTTGCTGCGCTCTAAACGAGAGATTTCGCTTTCATTACCGCACAAAAGTCCACAACAAATAAAACTCACAATATAACAACAAAAGGGCAACAAAAGCAAAAAAACGCTAAACAATACTTGTGCAAATGTGTGTGAAATGAAATGAAAATGGAAATGAAAATGCCATCATTGGTAATTTTCCCAGCGGAAATGCGAGCGCCGTGTGCGCCTGTTTTTGCAAGTTGATGTTTGAGTACACGTATGTATGTATGTACCCTAGTATACCATATAAAGTAGCGTTTGTTGCTGGCATTTCCTGTAAGAAATATATAGAGTTTAATTTTTAGGATTTTAATTCTTGTTAATCTCCTTAGAGGCGCTAGTACTCGTCGGCATATTGAACCGTTGGCGACTGTAGCTTGTTGAAATATTGGCAGGAAGTATACTTGTATGATGTGAAAATGTGAGATTTGAAGCGTCTATATAAGAAATGCTGGAATAGTTCAATAGTCTTAATATTCATTGTGCCCATACTTAGCGGCCTAGGCAGAAGAAGAAGTGATGCGCAAACTGTGTCAAATAAGATATTACAATTATTTTTTCTAGTCCGTCCTACCTAGTATGGTTAATTTGAGTAAGTTTTTTTTTTTCTGCAAAAAATTGAGATTTTAGAAAAAAAAATACTTGCTTTGTGAAAAATTAGGACACCATGTTTAACAAAGTTTTTATATCACTTTTTGTATTATTAGACATTTTTATTTTTATTAGAAAATAATTTTTGAAAATTGTAATTTTTAAAAAATGCTATAAAATATTATTTCAACATTTCTTTATATATTTTTCAGTTCAAAGTGTTTGCGTTCATATTTGAACTCACGTTGAAGCCTCTGGATGCTTCTCACTGTGTATTTTCAGACGTTTCTTCGCTTTAATTTGTAAACTTTATAGAACTAACGTTTTCAAAGCACATCACCATTCATATGAAATATTATTTTTGGTGCATAAAAACCGGCTGACCACTTTTATCCTTAACAGTATTAGAAAATTTGCTGGGCGTTTTCCCAGAATGCGAAGATTTTAGCTTTTACTTTAAGTTATAAACTTTATTATTAAAACGAGTCTGAAGAAAGTTATGTGGGTAAAAAAAGATTGATCTATTTTCTTCTTGTTAAGAAAGAGTTATCAATAACACAGCTCTACATAACAATATAATTTTTCTTTTGCCTTGAATATTTTAGCAAATTTAGATGTTTTCAAGTGTTCAGATTACGAATATATTTATAAAAGTATTGAATATGCTCTTTTTTATAATTATATAATAATCCAAGAGAGGGCTCTACTAGTATTATTTCGCGTCGTGTTCATCTGTTGCTATATTTATTTCTAAGGTACTGTCACTTCGCGTCGTTTTCAGTAGATGTCATTTGTTTGAGCGTGAACAACAATTTGTTTCATTCATTTAAAAATGTCGAAATTTGTACCAGATAAAGTGTTTTTGCGGGGAGTTCTTCTTCATTACTTTAACATAACCGAAAGCAATTGTATTTTACTGGACGTTTATGGTGACCAAGCTTTAGCCGAACGAACATACCAAAAGTGGTTTGCACGGTTTAAAAGTGGCAATTTCGACTTAGACGACGGAGAACGACCCGGACAGCCAAAAAAATTTCAAGACGAAGAATTGGAGACATTGCTCGACGCAGATGCATGCCAGACGCAAAAAGAACTTGCAAAAGTATTAGGAGTTGATTAATCAACCGTTTCCAGACGATTAAAATCATTAGGATTCATCCAAAAGCTTGGAAATTGGGTGCCTTATGAATTAAAGACAAGAGACGTCGAACGTCGATTCTGCATGTCGGAAATGTTGCTTCAACGCCAACAAAAGAAGTCATTTTTGCATCGGATTGTCACTGGCGATGAAAAATGGATTCATTATAATAACCCAAAGCGCAAGAGATCGTATGTGAAGCCCGGCCAACCATCGAGATCCACGGCAAAGCCGAATATCCATGCTGCTAAGGTTATGCTATGTATTTGGTGGGACCACAAGGGTATGCTCTATTATGAGCTATTGAAATCGG